ATCCCTACACACAACAGTTTTTATCGATCAGGGGTTGCGACTAAAGTCATCTAGTATGCGAAAAACTTCTCGCAATGATTTACGTTAAGAAAGCTTAAAAAAAACTACAATTAAGGATCGTGTTTTGTTTGTCTTCGACGACTATTCAAATACAATTATTACATTGGTTGCAAATCATATTATTACATTGGTGTCAGATAAAAATCTATATTTCACATATGAAATAAACACTGTATTTTTCCTCATTTGATGTCATATAACAATATTTGCTGTCAAGACGTTATTGATCAGGTTGCACCAAAGCAAAGTAAGAATATTTAGAAACAGACTTGTTACTTGAGTTCTATTTTATTTTCATTAAATACATTAAAAGTCAATATAATGAGAGAGAGAAAAAAAATAATCAAAGAATAGAAAAATAGAAAAATATTGTACTTGAGGCCAAACAACACCGATAGTTCACTCATGCGCTTCATGATTCGTGAGTTAATGTGTTGTTCGGTTGCACGTTTAATATGTTTCGACAATCAAATTCTTGGATTAAGTATTCTGTTAATTTGATGTCTATTAGCATATATGCAATTCACATTCTATGTCTGCAAAAGCAAAACCGATGTTACTTAGATATAAGAAGATGTGGTATGAGTGCCAATGAGACAACTCTCCATCCAAGTCAAAATTTATAAAAGTAAACCATTGACTGTAAGTGTTGCTCTCCACCTATTGCAGTTTATACAAAATTCTGACCAAATTGCTATTTGTTTTATCAAACCAAACTGATCAACTGGTCAGGAATTTTAACAATTTTAAATAAACTGCAATAGATGGAGAGGAACACTTACAGTCAAGTCACAGTTATATCATATTAAAGAATCTCGTTTGTTATACATTACCATAATAATAATGAAAACAGGAAGTATCGGGTTTACGTTATCGACACATTAACATAAATGCAAGCACAAAAAACAAAACAAATGTCATTTTGAGGTCAATATAGCATAATGGTCTTCAATGATAGACATGTTTTCAAGCCAATATGTCCAGCTCAATGCCGTCTTGAGTCTATGGAAACTGCCAAATGCTGCAAACTCTCAAAGCAAGTCTGACGTGTAAACCTCAAATACATAACCAGAAGATAAAATTTTTTTATCATAAAATGTAAATATCATAGCAACAGATAATGAAAGTTGATATATTGTCGTAACGATATTGTGCCTAATATTGATACCTTTACACATAACAAATTAATCTTAAAGACACTAAAATTGATTTATTCTAAAGAAAAATACCTGATTTACAAGATCCAGTGGAAAAAAATAGCAAGATGAACAAAAAATTAATCACTCCGCTCATGTCTGGTTGTGTAATTTCTGCACTGCAATTCAAATCACTAAGCCTTGAACTTTCTCTATCAGGATCTAGAGAGCAATGTACAAAATAGACTAATCTAAAGTAAAGAAATCGGTCAGGAAACATATGTCATTCAGTATCGTTCTTGAATTATGTTCTGATATGAATTCAAAACTGAATGCAATATGTTTATGTAATTGTTTCAAGAAAAAGATAAACAGTTGCTTAAAATCGATTTAAGAAAATCCCACAAAAAAACAATTAGATATTTCAGTTTTAGTTGCTCCAAACTTCTTTCTTTATTTTTAAGATGATACTCTCTGCTGTCGATTTTTTTATTCGAGTTGATCCAAATAGTTCAAGAAACAATTGCACAACTATGAAATAATAGAAATAAAAATATTAAAGGGTAGACGTCTTTTTCAAAGAAATGACGGTTTAATTAATAGAGATTCATTTGTGCATAGTGCGGCTGATTTGAAGAACTGAAGATTAAACATGGAAGCAGCATAGGAATTTTAGAGCTTTACAACAGAAAATGGGTTGATATCCAGAAACAACTATATAGATTACCAAGAAATTCATGACACCATTATTATTTAAGAAGATATACCTAGATATACACCATAATTAGAAAACAAAAAGACAAAAACACCTTCACAATCTGATTTGCTGTAATGCATTACCACATCACATGTGACAGTTTCTTCGCTAAACGGATGACCTTTCATTAGTGAATCTATTTATGAGTTTCTTTTTGTTGCTGTAGAAGAACGCATCAATTAAGTATGCTTATTTTGCTCTGTTGACGCGTTTATCGTGTATGTATCACAAATTACACGACGGGTGCCACTTGTGGAGCAGGATCTGATACCATTTCGGAGCAACAGAGGTCACCCTCGTTTTTTATCGGGGTTCGTGTTGCTCGGTCTATAGTTGAATTTTTGTATAATGTTTTGTAGTCTTTATCCTTTTGTAATACGATAAAGGAGGTTATCAAACAGCATAGATCGAAGAAAGAAACACGACACCAAGTTTTGAAGAAAAAAGATGAAAATAGATTCAAATCACAAAATACTACAAGGAAAACATAAAGATGAGCAACACAAACCCAACCAACAAATTTGGTCTACTCTAAGCTTCCGGAGAAGCGTAATCAGGTCTTGGTGAACTAAATTAAGTGGCATATATCGCGCTACCTCAAAAAGCTTAAATGCAGTCGCATTCGATACAACAAACAAGGAAGGGAGAAAAAGAATATGCCTACGACAAATGGAACAATAATTGAGTTTCTTGGTCATCTGGTGCACAGATATTCCATAACGGTCAACCAATTCATGATGGCATCCGTTAAACTCACAAAATAAAGACTTCACCTTTGTTATTAAGAATCTTCTGTTCAACAGCTTCACGTAAAATCCACAACCGCTGCACGTAAAATTCAAAAATTAAAGTCGTATTTTCTGTCTTGAATATAAGTATTTAGCCGACCTTATCATTCATTTTCTAGATGAGAATAGATAATCGATTAGTGACTCAAATGACAGGGTTTTAAAGAATATTTTTATATATCAGACATCACTCATCAAACATGATCAACATACGACTCCTCCGCAAAAATCCAGACGTATAAATATAAGAAACGAATAGGAATAAATCTTTGTCCAAATAGCCTGACTTGGTACAGGTACAAAATTAAGTTCGGTTAAATAGTATCAATACAGAAACCAGGCTAAATAAAAGTTTTGTAAAAAAAACGTTTTACGTGCTTACACTTCTTGTCAATGGTTTATTATGTGTATACGCAAATTTTAAATGCAAAAAAAGGGAAAAATCTTTAAAGAAGTCCTTCAATTGGTGTGCAAATTTTCTGTGAAGTTTTAAGGATTTTGGTTTAAAAACTGCATGAAGAGTAAATTATGGAAATACGCCGACTTTTGAAAATTTTGCTCAAAAAATCAATTATAATCAATTAGTTCACAAGTTCTGAAAAATATAAAAAAAAATTTAAACTAATTTCTAAACAGCTTGCGAACAACTAAGGTTTCTTAGTTGAAAACTGTAGAAGACGTTTGGTTCCACTTTTCTCGGCTGCATGATATCACCACACTACACGCTGGTTTTTAGACAAACATCTTTAAAGGAAGATGCACAACTTCAATTAGTGTGCAAATTGTCTGCTTCAAAGATTTTGGTTTGAAAAACTACAGAAACAGTAATTTATGGATATTAAAATCTCGTACATACATTGAACATTTAGAATATACAAACTGCCCGACTTTTTTCATAATCAAGTGTCATACACGTGGGAGGTTTAGCTAGCTATAAAACAAGGTTTAGTCCACCATTTTCTACATAAGAAAATGCCTGTACCAAGTCAGGAATATGACAGTTGTTTTCCATTCGTTTGATGTGTTTGAGCTTTTGATTTTGCCATTTGATAAAGAACTTTTCGTTTTGAATTTTTCTTGGAGTTCGGTAATTTTATTATTTTACTTTTTGTAAGACTTATGTTTGTTTATAAAATGTATGCGGACATTTCTTAAATCAAAATTTGAAATATCAGATCTAAAACAAATCTGTTATTCATGGTTTTTGCCTAACATCTTAGAATTATCTAATGCAGAAGATGGATGCATTGTTCGTGGCATTTTGAACCTTCCGTATATTTGTCTTCATTACAAATGAATGGTGGTGTTTAAACAAGTTACATGCCTTGTAGTGTCATTTTTAAAGAGTGATAATACGTTTATTACTCTCATAGCATCATGTCTGATGGGTAATAACAAGGTTGTTTCCAACTTTGCGAAACCTTCTGAAATGTTTTAAGTTGCATATTGAACAAGAAAAGTCGGAGAAAAAATATTTAAATTGATTATAATCAATTTTGATGTCTTTCATCTTTTCGACATTATGATAACTTTCCATAACTGTAGATTCTTTATCTCATTTGCATGATAACTGTATGTCTTAAAATTGGGTTTAATTAGAAAACAAAAGAAAGCCGGAGAATAGCATTAACATTCCAGAAATGAAACACAGACTTTGTCCTTCTAACAAAGAAAAAAAAAAAAAAACAACATTTTGGAACGGTCACACATATTGTTTTTTTTCACATTTATAGAAATAGTAAAAAGGACAGTAAAACATTTGATATTCTTGTTTTTCATTATTTAAAATGTTTATCATCTCGAAAAAAGAGGCAGAAAATACCAAGGGGACATTCAAATTTCATAAGTTGAAGAGAAACTGACAACAACATGGCGAAAAAAAGGAAAGACGACGAAAAGACAAACAAGTCCACAAAACATTACATAGTAAACTAAAGACTGAGCAATACGATCCAAAATGAGAATGGGGGTGATTTTAGGTGCTCCGGAAGGACAAGCAGACTTCACTGGTGGCACCTTTTATGTTATCATGGTAAATCACCGATACAATAAATGAGAAATGTCAGAAATCCACATTAATGATAGTAAAGGACACCGACTAAATCCAAACAGGACAGACATACAAACAGCATGCAGTTGTCTTTCATTAATCGAGGGCATTGACAAATCCAATCTGTTTGTTTATTTGTAATGCAAAACATAATTATACATTATAACTCATATAAGACTGCTAGCTTTAATTGAAGATTAGATAACCACTCAAACTGGTATAGAATTGAAAAAAACAGCCTCTCCATCCATTGATTTTGTGTAAATCTGCAGTGCTTTATCCTTGTTTATTTTGCCTTTAACGTAACCAGCATTGGCAATGTCTTCAAATTTATGATAACCAGCATATACTGGACTAAAGTATTTCATCACCCAATCTTTATATGGCCCAAATTGATGCTGAAATATATATTTTTCTAATAAAATTTAGTTCATATCAATCCTGTAAAAATCAAATGATTATATGAGTTTACAGAGTGCAACCTATAGTGTACAAGAAATTTTGTCGTGAAAATGCATGTTTTAAAATAATTGTTATTCATTGAATGTCATTTGTGCTAATCTATTCCATTCTTTTCTTCACATTTTGAACTTTTAAACAAGCTAAATGCTATTCTCCGGCTTTCTTTTGTTTTCCAAACAAACCCAATTTAAAGACATACAGTTATCATGCAAATGAGATAAGGAATCTACATTGTGGAAAGTTATCATAATGTCGAAAAGATGAAAGACATCAAAATTGATACTTTCCTCTTATAGTTGATGTGTTTCCCTCGGTTTTAGTTTGTAACCCAGATTAGTTTTCTCTCAATCGATTTATGACTTTTGAACAGCGGTATACTACTGTTGCCTTTATTTACATATGCGCTTGTTGATAAGGTCAAAAAGTGAAGAGAAAAAATGGAATAGATTTGCACAAATGACATTCAATGAATAACAATTATTTTAAAACATGCATTTATCAAGACAAAATTCCTTGTACACTATAGGTTGCACTTTGTAAATACAGCTGTTTCACAAGCCACGCCTCTTTTTGGGAGATATATAATATTCATAGATATTTGTTTTGTTTACGTACTGGTTCCCAGATATGATTTCTATGTCTCATCTCATAGAGACATAACTTAGGAATGTTACCAGTAATAAAACACATGGTAGACGCGAAAATGGAATTCTGAGGAAGACCCAAAGTGAAGGTAGGGTAGTACAAAATTTTAGTGAATAAGTTCAAACTCTTAGAAGTTCGGGGCATATAAATGTTGAAAATATGCGGCACAGCCCTATGTTTTGACCTTTGAATAAAATAGTAGAGCATATCAACTTTCCGTTCTAGGATATAATTTTTTACGAAACTTCATAGTAAAAGTGGCACAGTTTTAGCCGCAAAGGGAGTTCCTATGGGAAATTGCATTGTCTATATTTCCAGAAGTGCAACCTGTATTGGATGAAAAAAGAGAACATATTGAATTTCACCAAATCTGGTTAAACATAGAGATTTTAATGAAGTTAACTCAAATATAAAGTTTAATATATATTTCATGAAGATTGAGAAAATCCTAATTAATTATGATGACTCACTATAAATTCACAGTTGACAGTATGCAAAGTTTACTTAAAGCCCTGAATGCAAAATAAATTCATAATATATGCATATTTGTAATTTAAGTTGTTTAGAAGTGCTTATATATTTTCTCTTCGCAGTCATTGAAACTCATAGATCCTTGATGAATATTGTTGTTGGGGTGTTTTTGTCCTGTCGATAACCAAAAGTTAAGCCGTAACACCTAAATGTGTTTTTATGTGACCGCGGCATAAAAAATACAAGCTAGAAATACAAAAAGACCTCAGTAAAACTAACAATAGTGTGTTCTATCCTAAATATGTACTAAATATTCCATATTCACAGAAACAGCAAAACAATGTAGCAAATTTGATGTCCCAGTGGCAAAAAACAGAGAAAAATGCCTACCCCCTGGGTCATAAAACAGATAGTTTAACCTGTAAATGCTATGATTTTATTATTTTAAAGGCCTTTTGTATAGAAAACAATAACTGTGCTTGGCAGTTATGCAAAAAACAGATGTTAGCAGTCAGTTCTATAAAACTTTAAGTGAATTCATACATCAGACTGGTAACTTCATACATACAACTTTTGCAAATATGGCTTTGTTTAAACACTTCTAGTTCATATATTAGCTAAATTATGTTAGATATATGGTTAGAGATGATATTGTTGTGGCAAGATTTCTAAACTGACTATTTGAGGCAGAAATTGTGAACTTATATTGACAAATAGGCATACAGTAAGATGTGTACTGGAGACATAGGCAGGATTGGATACTTTAAAAAAAAAAAAAAAAAAGGATTGGATACTTTATATAATCTTAAATGTTGGAATGATTAACTACTAAACTTTACATTTATAGTATTCTGAAATGCTTTCAATTTGTTATCAGAATAGTTTCAAACAAGTTCTAGACATTTTATGTCAGAAAACATGCACATAGTGTAAGCTGACAATAATTAAAGTTATGTTTTCAAATTCTTTAAATATTGAAACAGGGGTGGGGGTATAAAATGTACTGTAAAGGAAAAGTAAGAGTATATGAAGTGATTTTTTAAGGCTATACTACTGATAGATTAGTATTGTTGTGAAAAAAAGTGTTTTTCAAGAGTTTTTTATTTGAATAAATGTTAGTGTAAGGCGTTTATATCACATATACTTTAGTTTGCACAAAATGATTTTTCACATACTACTAACTGGGTGTGTGTTTAGTGCCAGTCCCAACCACGGCCATAAGCGTTCACATGGGATAGATGCTACAACGATATAAATTGGTTCCTCATTCAGCGCTACATTTAAAAGATGATCAATGAATTCTTAACATTCTGGTCCTACTTTAACAGCGGAGGCATTTTGAACATACCAATCGTTTAGGATTCCTTCACCAAAACTAAAATTATAAGCAGACAATTATTTTGATTATTTTAAGATGATTTCTCAGTTCAAGTAGTTACTATGTATATTGTCGTACAGTGATTTGCGAAAAATATTTTCTTTTTTGTTGTAAAATTAATACAAAGAATAGAGGAATATATATCAATTAAACAGAAACCGCACGACACAAAAATCGAAAGACATCTAAAGATCAACATACCGTGTTCCGCAATAGACAAAATAGCTCCTAATCCCCCTCGTAAACTACATCTGGGAAATAACTATAAAATATCTGCCATCAACACCAAATTTCGAATTTGACAAAAACATTAAAATATACAAAGAGCCAATAAATGACGTTTAAATGGCAGTAATAAAATTCTCAAACTAATTAAATTGAAACTGAAATTCGGAATCGAGAAAGTTACAAATACTTCTCTTTAAATTAGATTTCTTTAAAGCAATAAAGGCCACTGTGTTGCTCTTGAATTAAAAAATCAAAACGTATAATAAATCTATCTAATAAAATTCCTTAGGTGTTCATACGAAATTAATCTCTAAATCATCATTTACTACATTTAGTTTTATTTTACATTATCTATTTTAGTTAGACTCCCTTCATTTAAAAAAAACTGCCAAAAAAGAAAATACCCTACTACTGAGATCTTTAAATTAATTTGTAAGTCTTCCCCTATAAAAATATTTTACCAATAGATTATATGTCTTAAAAAAGGTTTTGGAAAACAGTTTTAAGGTAAGGTTGTAGCGCACTTTTATTGCTATTGAATTTCACCAAAAATATATTTTTGAAATGTTTCTGATGTCACAGAGTCAAATCAAATTATATTTCTGTGTTAATGTGACAAATTTGATCTTAAATACTCATTTACGAATTTACCATTATTTTTGAAAGGTTTGAGGACTTTACATAATTTCTAATTTCAGGGTCAAAATAATTGCTCTTATCCATTTCCCCCTTACAGACATTAAAGCGCTTCGTCCTATTTTAACATTTTATTCCTTTCTATTTCATATTTTTATTTGTTATTCATCTATTTTTTTATTAACTTCTCCTCCTGCTGGTATCTTTCAAGAGTAACAATCGTATTCTTTCTTTTTCCAAAATTCGAATCCTGCCAGCGCAATGTACCTTCGACTCCTATATATAGATATAAGAAGATGTGGTATGAGTGCCAATGAGACAACTCTCCATCCAAGTCAAAATTTATAAAAGTAAACCACTATAGGTCACAGTACGATCTTCAACACGGAGCCTTGGCTCACACCGAACAGTAAGCTACACCGACAACTACTGAACATCAGATATGCCGATTTTCTTACCGACGGTCGTTGGTTCTCTCTGGGTATACTGGCTTCCTCCACCAATTAAAACTGACCGTCAAGATATTTAGACAAGAGTTCTGAGAGTAGGACTATTAGACCTTTTCAACAACTCTCGACACCGACTATTGACACCTACAGTTTACAGGAGAAATAGAGGGGTCGTATCAAAGATAAAAATCATTCAGGTATAACATGAATGTAACATATACATAGATATAGGAAGATGTGGTATGAGTGCCAATGAGACAACTCTCCATCCAAGTTACAATTTTTTAAAGTAAACCATTATAGGTATAGGTACGGCCTTCAACACGGAGCATTGGCTCACACCGAACAGCAAGCTATAAAGGGCTCCAAAAAATTACTAGTGTAAAACCATTCAAACGGAAAAACCAACGGTCTTATCTATATAAAAACGAGAAACGAGATACACGTATGAAAAACATAAACAGACGACAACTACTGTACACATTTGATTTGAACGGTATTATTTTGTAAAAGGACGGATACTGAGCAAATATAACTATTGTGGATTTTCTTTGTTTGTTTCCCTTTCTTTCAAATAAAACTTTGCATGGTAGCTATAGGAAACAGAGGCATGATGATTAATTTATTGTAGAATGAAGAGAAGCGACACACAAAATGAGGTCTTCTCATTTAATAGTATACATGCTGCGGCATTGGATTTGATCTCTTCTTTTTTTGTCGGAGCCGATCAGATCTCGCTGCTTCGTAATGATTACCCGACAGTATTGAAGATCACGCGGTAACTCTTAATGTCTGTTTTATGTGTTGCATTGTGTGATTTTATGCTTTATTTGTGCCATGTCCATAACCTGGTCTGCCTTTTTTCATTATTGTCACAGTCTGTTTTGTGCTTTTGGAATTAAAAACAAAATATAACCAAAATATGAAATAGGACAATAGCTTTATCAAAATTTTCTGTACAACTTGTAACTGAATACAGATTTAAATTGAACATAGTATGAGTGAAATACAACAAAACTGTTAAGTATAAAGTACATTACGAAGGAACCTTAAGCCAAAAAATAACGGACTTTGTATAGAAATGTGCCGCCCATGTCAATAGACATAAAACAATGGTATGTTTAAATATTTACTACTTCTATTTTTTATTTTCCTAGTTTAAAGTAGCTTTAATCTCATCTTCTTAAAATATTGAATAGAATATTAAAGATCTCCATTTTATTCGTTCATGGGAGTCTGAATGGGGTTCCCTCAATTCTGTGTTCTCTTACTTTTTAAGCCATTTTCTATTTTGATTTATTTTGCCCATTATTCTCTATTCTTTATTTTTTTTTGCCCCATGATTCTGTAGTATTAGTCCATTTATGTCTATTCTGTAGACCCCATCCAGATGCTCATTCATACTCAATTCAAAAATAAAATTAAAGAATTTAAAACAGTAAATGGTTAAAACCAAAACAAGAAAAATATCGTTGTGGTAAATACATATAGGCAACAAATAAATCCCTTCAATTCAGTTACTGGTAACCATTACTACTTTGAGACGACCACTTACATCTTACCTGTCGTAGTCGTTGTCAACTGACAATTGTTGAAAAGGTCTATTACAATAACGTTATTATATTAGTCCTAGGATATATTTATTTAACAGCAAAAAGTTAACAAATCACATTACAAATAAATATATAACAGTACATACCTTTTGTATACTTTGACTTCGTTTTCAAGAAAAATCTTAAGACGACCACCACTCTTAGTTGCAGCCACCTCTAACGCTTTTGAAAATTCTAAGCAGAAGACTGCATCTTGAATCAAGTATCTACCTTTAATACAGATTTTCACACATATGTATTTGCTTACTGTAATTGTTTTCGTCGAACATGGGTATTTTACCTAAATACATAGATATGATTTAAACGCTTACTGTTATAACCTTTTTTTATTTGTTTTTATCAAGGAAAATATGTATTATGAGGATGGACGCCTTTAATTTATAGTTGGAAATATCTTTGAGCATAAAACATTTATTCTATCTATATAACTATATTTTTTCTAGTAACTTTACTCAAATAACAGTTCAAAATTAAAACACGTATTCATTACTTAATCTGAAAAAGCAGAGACATTGATTGTGACTTACCAAAATATGTTGGATGCAATGTACCATCTTTAACTCCTTGCACAAACGAAGAATTCAGTGATTTCATCCTCGAACTTCTGGTTTCATGCCATAACCATTCACTAAATTTATTTTCTGTTAAATATACTACAGGACTTAACAAGGTTACATAGTATTCTGAGTAAACATATATTTCAATACCAAGATTCTTGAATATATATCCTGTTTTCAAAATATTTCCTTGTTATATATCCCTTTAGTATTCCGTCTCTTTTTGATAATGTCATAATATTAACCTGGTGCATTCACTTTTAATGATGTACTGTGTTTTGGAAAAGGCATTTGTATAATATTAATTTAAATTTTTCGAAACACCAAGATTTTTTTTCCGGAGGAATAGATTACCTTAGCTGTATTTGGCAAAACCTTTCGGAATGTTTGGTCTTCAATGCTCTTCAGCTTTGTACTTTATTTGGCCATTTTAACTTTTTTTATTTGAGCGTCACTGATGAGTCTTTTGTAGACGAAACGCGTGTTTGGCGTACAAAATTTTAATCCTGGTATCTATGATGAGTTTATTTTTCACAATTATGTAATTTTACATTGCTAGTTTCTTTAAGTTTGATGAAAAATAAATGACACGAACAACCAAATAATACATGACACGAATAACCAAAAAATACTGGACGGAATAACAGAACTCATCAACAATCAACATCCGACTCCTCAAATAAAATAGACCTTCAAAGGCAAACAACAACACAAAAAAAAAAAAAGGTCCAGATAGCTTAACTGGTAAACTAATATAATATTGTGGAATGAAACTAGTTTTATATGATCTATTTGAGAAAACAAAATGAATAAATGCAATGACAAATGAACTCATGACGGCTGTTGTTTAAAAAAAAACAGAAGTAAAATTAATTTAAAAAAAACCGACCAACTAGGAAAAAAACATATAAAAAGAAACAAATTGCAATAGCAGGGAAGAAAACAACAATAAAAAGGTTGTACAAAACAAATTATCATTCATATCAGGAATAAGCTGAGAATACTCATAAAATAGCTTTACCTAAGATTATAACATGTATAATGTACAGCAAAACCGGTATGGAAGTTAAACAAAAATATATCTGGTCGACAAATATGTACACATTCATTATAAGATTACGTTCCCTGTGTGTTATTATCTGCCATGTATCTATCTTGCTTGTGTATGTACATAAAACTGCCATTAATCTATAACGAGATATACCAGTAAAATTGCCTTTGGTATTCCAACTTGATCCATTATTAAAAGAATCAGAAATTTGTGTAGTGCCAGGCTGGTCATCTTGATCTAATATCAGGTACCATGGATTTACTAAATCACTAGGAACTATAAATCAAGAGTATCAAAATGTACAAAATATAATCAACAAAAGAACATTAACGTTTGATGAATATTGCGTTATGTATTTATATCCGATAACTTTTTTTAAATTTTGTTCAAGAATGTGGAACTATCCATGTATTTACTTTACAATAAATGTAATTGTGTTATACAGGTGTTGTGTATATCATTCTTGGATTTTTTTGGGGGAGTATAATCCACAGGTCATCAAATATTTTTCAATTGAATTGTAATCAGTTAAATCAGAATTTTTTTACCAACGTTCATATGATGCCGCACTTCTTTTGTTTGAAAATATAAGTCTAGTATAAGCTAGTATTAGTGTCTACAGGAAGAAGTTTCAATTAAGGACCTTATTCGCTCAAGTTTTTTTCTTTAGCTACTGTGACTTATCGACGCAAATGGCAATGTTTCTGTGTACATATAAATATCAAAGAGGGGATTACGATTTGAGGCCAAATTACCCTGAAATCAAATATATCTTCAACTATCTCTGAGTTTTGGAATAAAATGTTGAATGTTTGTACTTTGATTAAACCTTACAGTTTTGGTAAAAAAATACCGTTTTAAGCAGCCATAGAATGATAGTAAATTTAGGGCAATCAAATAAAAGCTTGACTATTCTATTCTATTTGATGTAGAGTATGTAAAAAAAAAATAGTTACAAAAGTCAAAACTTTATCGAAAACATAAACAGCGAGGAATTAACCACACCATATGTGCCATCAAAGAGGCATTACTGGTATAATACTTGGTCAAATTTGTCCGACAGAGGCTGATGTTTCAATGCATTTCTGAGTTTAAAAGTTATTTTACAATAGAAAATACGATAATATATGATACAAACAAAATATCTGAGTATATACTAGTAATGTTTTGGGGCTGAAATATAATTCTGAAATGAAAGTATGAAAATCGCTTAGGATCTTCATTAAATCACATACTTAAATGAATGAATTCATGTTCAATGAAATTGGAAAAGAAGTTATATATCATATAAGAAACACACTTTATACTGACCTGCGCTACAAACTCCGGATAAAGTAGTTATTAAGAAGAATACAAAATGGAACATTGCATTCGTGTAAGATTCAATCTAATGCACAATACTAAACAAAAAAGACCCTGAATCAAATTATACAGAGTGTACTAAATATAACTAGAGGAAATGTCAGTCATTACACCACGTGAATTTATATAAGATAAGCCTTAATTGTAACACTAATAACTTTTAATGACAAAAATAGCTGTTGTATGCAAATGAAAATGAAAAAAAAAAAAAAATATAAAAATAATAAAATGAACGTTATAAGAAAAAGATATGTTTTCTATCATTTGTCTAACTATGGTATTCAGTACTTCAAACTGGTACTATTTAGATGATACTTAATAGTCCGAATTGGCTGGAACCTTGACTTTGTTTGTAGAATGAAAATATTTAGATTAGAACAACCTTGTTTTTAATGTTCTAAAACTATTGACATTTTGACTCCTTTGTCAGGCACGCTGATAAACCTATTTCGTGTGGTTTCAAATTTAGGTCCATGATATAAACATAAGATAGAAATTGGTTGACAAATAATACTCGATGGTCTTCAATAATAGATTCTACGTGCTGAAGTTTTGTATCTTTCTATTTACTTTACAGTTTTCCTTTTACTTTTTCCATTCATTTGATGTGTTTGAGCTTTTGATTTTGCCATTTGATAAGGGACTTTCTGTTTTGAATTTTCTTTGGAGTTCGCTATTGTTGTTATTTTACTTTTTACTTGTCTTCGTGCTATTATTTTTTTTTGGTCGTATGACGTTTGACGTGACTAGGTATTTATGCATCCCGCTATCGGGGTTTTGACTTTGGACGTTCCTCGTGCAGATGGGTCCCGAGGTGCGATTCGGACGCAAGAAGTTTTTACAGTTTGTTTACCCTTGTATTAGTATTTAACTTAATTTGTACTTTATCGGGAAAGTGTATACTATATATTATATAACTATAAACAACTGTCATACAAGTGGAAGGTTTAGCTAGCTGTCATATTAGGTTTAATCCACCATTTTTATCCGGAAAAACGCCTGTTCCAAATCAGAAATATGACAGTTTTTTTTTTCTCACTCGTTCCGTTGGTTGATAACGTTTGATTTTGTCAGTTTTTATGGACTTCTCTATTTTGAATTTACCTTGGAATTTGGAATTTTTGTTATAATTTTTTGCTAAAACCACTTACCGTTTTTCTAAAATAACCCTCTTTAGGCGCCTAACAAACAGGTTGAGGTGTCACGGACAGGAACGTCTACTGCTACAAAAAAAAATGTAGTACTTATTCTAGGCTATAACCTTCCTAATTTCAACTTCAGTTAACGTTCTTAAAAAATAGGGAAGATACCAAAAGGACAATAAAAAAATCAAAAGTCCAATAATACAGACCACAACTATAAATAGAAACAGAAAAACGACGGAAAGGCACACATAAAGACTACACAGAAAACTAAAGTATGAGTAACACAAACAACCTCGCACACAAAAACAGGCGTGAACTCAAAGTATATAGTAGTTGTTGTAATGCCATATTGTAGTAAATGCTAGCTTAACAGTCGTCTTGGAGTCAGAAAAACAATTTCTGATAACCATGTTGAGTACTAGCTTATCTTAATTTTGACAATGAGTTAGACTTTCAATGCTTTATACTTTTTGAAGTTCATTTGTCAATATTTTTATCGCTATAATTTAAGGTTGTACTAGATTGTGTTTTTATCCTATTTATAAATGTTTTGGTTCTGTTTACTTCACTACTCCATTTTATAATTTTTTCATGAGATTTAAACTATGACACGATATTGATTTAGTTATCTCCGACTGCAAAGCTACATTTTTATCGTTGTCTACAAAATTTCGTTTCTTAATTCTGTCCATGTTTGTCACTGCATTGGAATATGTAATTAGTTTAACAAGATGATTTCACGATTTAATATTGAAAACCGAGGACGTCTTCGTGTTTGTATTTGGAAACGTATCAACTGGCAACCTTGAACGAATTACTGAAAAATATGTTATTATCCCATAATGAATTTTTCATTGGCTTGCTTCTGTTCTTGAACTATTGACATTTTGACTCCTTTGTCAGGAACGCTGATAAAACAATTTCGTGTAGTTTCAAATTTAGGTCCATGATATAAACATAAGGTATAGATAGCTAAAAGCACTAACCGAGTTCTGAAATAACCCTCTCCAGGCACATAACAAAAAGGTTTCGATTATGGAGTGGAACGTCGACTGTTTCAAACAAAACTTGTGGTACTTATCCTACATTATCGCTATTTTGTGTATTTTTCCTTTGATATTATTTGTGATAATTTTTTGTATTATACTTCACGTAAAAATGCAATATTTTGATTGGCTTATACGAGGGTATTAATTTACTCTAATCTATGGTAAATACTCTATTACCCTTTACGGAGACGCTTGTTCAAGTGTGCGCTTTATTAAATACGGATGGTTTGAATTTGAAATTTAATCGACAGTTATAACAGAACATTCAGTATAATAAATTAAATAACACATATCTGAGAGGGTGATAGAGCAGACTGTTACCCCTCGAAAAGACATTGTCAACCTTGGCTTCTCCTAAGTTGACAATGTTTTCTCGGGGTAACAATCTGCTTTACTATACTTCACGTTAAATGCCATATTTTGATTGGCTAATACGAGGGTGTTAATTTACTCTATAACCCTTCATGGAGACGCTTGATCAAGTGTGCGCTTTATTAAATACGAATCTATCCTATGGCAAATACTCTATTACCCTTTACGGAGACGCTTGATCAAGTGTGCGCTTTATCAAATACGGATGGTTGTTATGTACAAGACGTCATAGTTGATTACTTTGAATTTGAAATTTAATCGACAGTAATAACAGAACATTCAGTATAATAAATTAAATAACACATATCTGAG